ACTTTCTCAAATAAATATTTATCCGAAACAACCAGAATAATGTCCAACTCTGATTCTAAACCCATTACATAAATTACTGCTACTTATCAATTTCCTGTCAAAACACACAGCCAGAACTTTCGATCAATCTCAAATCAAGGAAGGACTCTTAAAATAAAATTGAACTCTCTGCATCCTGCGCACTGAAGTTCGACGAACGAGAACCGGTAGCTATGAATTGGAGTGAAAGGAGCCAGTCGTAGCCGCGTTTCCTGTTTAGATAAATAATGACGGGTCGAAAGTGGACGGCCGTGGAGTGGCATTGTCGAGCAAGAACGTTTCTAGGCCGTAAGGCAGTGGCCGCTAATCAGCTCACCACGCATCCGTGGCCGAGTAAAGGGTAGCAACTGACCGTGATATTAATTGCTTTCTGGCTATTAGCAAATGGTACCTAGGAGACCCGGTAAGAGGAGTGGCAGAGAGCCCGTGCACCAGCCAGCTCGCCATTAACATTAACGCGACGCAATACGCTGTTTACCAGAGCCCAGACACACCGAAGTCGCGTTTAAATCACGCACAGCAGAAAGGGAAACTGCTCCGCCATTGTTTATACCATCGACAATGCGTATGGCCCGCAACCGGCAAGTTACAACTGAACCCTGCCGCGGGTTGTACTAATCTCGCCTCCTGTGTTCCTCTTTCAAGTCGAGAAACCCTCTAAAACCGGTTGTTGCCGAACCCTATTCTTCTTCGAACCTGGTGCGTGGAAGTCTTGTTTCATTTCTGCTTTCTAAAAGTTCCGAGACGACCGTTGTCAACACGAGAAACGGAACTCGTCGATTCGACACGTTTTTTAATTTGCGATTCTCGAAATAATCATAAAAATACATTTATTCGTTTACGGTATTTCAAGTAATTGAAAATAACTAACGCCTATCCTAACTTAAGTTTTGTTTGTGTTAACTGTTGCTCTTTTACGTGAATTTTTATCATCTTATTTTGATACGAACTTTTGCGATCTTATTTTTCTGTAAATTTTCATGGCCTTATTTTTCCATGAATTCATTACTTCTCTGTCCATTTTTGTGGTCATATTTTTATGCGATTTTCACGTTATTTCACGGGACCTAAAATGGCTAATATTTTGAACTTCGAAGGCTCGTAGGGTTATCGATCGATACGAACAAACAATTTTCAAAATGAGAAATTTCAATAATTCCGTTTTTGCCACGATAATCGAGTCCATTGTGCCAGTGCATAATCACTGTTCATTCTCCCAATGAACTTTGTCAATCGTGATGCCGTCGGAATGAAATTCTGGAAAGGATTTTACTCTAAAGAATGTTAATAAACCATCGGCTTAATCGATTGAAATCGATGGGGGGGGGGGCCATTGATAAACGTGGACAAACGAGCGTTACTGTTCGGAAATGTGTCACTCGACGATGAATCACAGGCGAAATACGAAATACGCGACGATTTCGAGCACTTTTCGCGTGACGCTGTTTACCGTGCCTGCGAGGCGGCCGTTACCTATAGAGGGGCGTTTGCGTATTCAAAATAGTTTCGAAAATTTAGTAATGCGTTCGAACGACTCTGTCAATACCGATTCATTTGCCGGCGTGTTCCGCCCCGAACGATAAAACGGTTCGCAAATATGCGATCGTTAATTAAGTTCCGACTCGTCGCCGATACACGGGTGTTCGTTATAAAAATGTTACCCCAAACGTCGTCTATACACCGGTGGGGCCGGGGGAGGTGACAAATGGCTCGGTAATGGCGGCACGGAAAATAAATCCGAAAAGGCGGCATTAAAATTTCCATTGCGGTCGACGAGAACCGGGGCGAAATCGAAATAAACATCGATGCGACCTGTAAATATACTTGTTACGCTTGAATAATAATGCTGGACCCGAACTGGACCCGATATTGCGGATCACGTTATTGACGAACGCGCTACGCGTTCGCGATAATCGTCGCAATTTGATAACGGTCCTCGTACTTTTTCCATTTCGAAGCGACGATTTAATCATTTGCTTTATCACCCGGACTTCTCCTTCTGTCGAGGCGACTTTCAATTCATATTTCAGTTTTCTGGGTGCCAAGAAAATTCTTTCGTTCTGAGAAAATCGCTTCTATTTTGTTTCTCGAATTCTTTGTCTCTTTTTTCGTCCATTGGTACTGTTTATATACAGTGTACACACTGTACAAAGTAACATTTGCATTGTTACTGACATCTAAACGAAAACATAACGAAACATCATATTTGTATATTTCTATTTTCTATAATTTTTTATAAGTAGAAATACGCGAATATATTCTGAATATGTTCTTGCTTAAATATCGCTAAAAATGCAAAAGTTGCTTTCCGACCTCTTCGAGACCCGAAACAAAGTGAAAAATGCGATCTTTTTTTGTTTTGTTCGTCATTTCACCCAATCGTAATTTTTGCAACAGTGTTCTATGCATTTTCTAGCAAACTAGATCTTGTATGATCTCGGAAAAATTTAACTCGTCCGGTTTAATTTTACAAAAGTTGTTCCGTTTCAAATGTCCACTTATATTTAACCACTGCTGAATGTTATATTAGTTTCGAAAAGTTAAAATTACGAGAAGACAAAATTATATTTTACCGAATACCTGTCAGACAAATCTTTCTTATTTCGGTCCACAGTCTAGAAATGTCATCGAGTTGTTACGTAATCGATTCAGATATTAATAAACGCAACGTAAATTGCGGAAGAATTGAAAAAGTATCTTAATGATGTTTTAGGAACGATTTCGCATCGTGCAATAAATTACGAAGCACAATTTCTCCTGTTTAGTAAGTGCGACGGAGAATATTGCATATCAATTTACGTTCCATTGTTTAAAAGGCGGCTAGAACCGACGGTCCCGGTTTCCCAGCAATCGCAGCTTCCAAGCAGAATCATTTATCACGTGGACCGGCTCCGCAAGTCGTGGGTAAAAAATATCGAAACGCTGAACTTTGTATCTCAGGCTCGCAGATGAAACTTTACCGCGGCCGCGGCTAATTAAGAGTTACTTTCAATGAAGGTTCCAAAAGTGAAACCTGCCGGGCACAAGTAAGAATAATTGTTGAGGGAAGCCGAGGAGGCGCGCGTTTGTTTTTCAGTCGACGGTGGAACGTTCGTTGAGGGTAACAAATGTGAAAAGTTTGTTTCAAGACGAAATTGGACGCGAAAGGTTTTCGCGATGAATCGATTGTGAAGCATCAAACACGAAAGTAATAGAGTCTTATTTGTTCTAAAGAACGGAGTCATCGTTCTTTTTTACAATTGTTACGTTAACGATTTAATCAGAAGTAACTCGATTCAGTCGAATTTAACCTTCTTTTAATTGCGAGTCAGAGTTTGATGATTGTGCAGGTGGAATAAGGACAGCCTGCGGTCAGACAAAACGAATTTAAACGGTATGTGAATAAGAAGATAAAAGTGCGCCTGATATATCGATATGCAAGTGAAATGAGAACGTCATGTGGCCAGACAAGTAGAATACGGGCAGTTTGTGGTCGGGCAAGTAGAACGAGGACATTATGTGGTCAGACAAATAGTGTAGGGACGATCTGTGGTCAGCGAAGTAGAATAAGAACGACCTATCATGAGATCATTGAAATTAGGATGTCCAATCATGGTCGGAGAGATAATATAGTCGTGATTTATGTCTGGACAAGTAGAATAAATAAATTTTGTTTGTTTTCGGTTGAACAATTAGAATTTTATTTGAAATATAACTGGAAAGTAAAATCGAGCGAGCTGTAATTCGATAAGTGGAATAACAATAAATTCTAATGACTAGATCGTGGATTTTATATATTTATGGCTAAAATGAATAGTTTCAATTTAAAGTAGTACAGAGATTAAAAGAATTAGAAAATATTACTATATTATTTGTGAATTATTAAAATTCTTTTAAAAAGAAAGAACTTTCTAGCCAGTTCCTATTTCTTACTAGTGATGTAGACAATTTTCCATTTGCATAAGAATTCACCAGCTATTACGATGCAAGTAGAATGGGGTTCATGGTCGGACAAATATAATAAGAATGATTTATATTCGAGCTGATGATGAATCATTCATGATCAGAGATGGAGAATCGAAAGTGTCTACGATGTGACAAACTGAATAGTGGCATCTCATGGTCAGATAAGTACAGACAAGTAGAATCGAAAGTACCTGTGATCTGGTAAATTTGATAACATCATCTTATGTAATATGATAACAGGCAAGTGGACTACGAACAACGCATGATCAAATAAGCGAGACGAGTATAAACGAATCAAACAGGTATAATTGTGTTTGCATATGAGTGCCCCATCGTCAGACAAGTAAAATAGAAGTGGAACATCTAATGAAGAATGAACAACGAAACCATGTCGCATATCAATTTAAGCAGTCACACCTAGTCAGAAGATTAAAAAGGTGTTGAGCAAGAACGATGCTTACATGAGCACTAGACTGCGATAAATCTTTATGCAAAATAGAAATATCCTACATGAGAGAAAAAAATAACGTACGAATTTTGTTCGATTCTTCTGATATTTTTATCTACTTCTTGTTATACCTATTTAATCTTTTCCACAAATGCATAAAATCCACAGTCTAATGACCACACTTATCTGGTGCACAGGAAGGGGCATAAAACCTAACAACCTATGTTCTCCAACGAAACCATAACGCTGATAAAAAAAGACATCGACGTCCTGAATACGTCAGTAATTTTTATAACAATCAAATGAAGATGTAAAGTTCCAATAAAAAACACTTAATCTACCAAAACATCATCTGATGCAGAAATGTTTGGAAAGCACAGATTGATCCGTCCATCGAGGAGTCCTACGGGATCGTCTTTCAAAATTGTCTTTCAGGATCGTCCTTCAGAATCGTCTTTCGGGATCGTCCTTTAGGACCTTCCTTTAGGATCGTCCTTTAGGATCGTTCCTTCCTAGATTGGCAGTCCGGCAGTTTGCCTACTTTCGAAACAGGATAATGAAGTCTTACCTTGAAAAGCAGCCTCGAAGGTGGTCTTCTCCTCGACGGGATTCTGTCCGAGCACCAGGACCACCGTGAGCAGCGCGAGGACCATGAGAAACCGGCAAACACGAACTTCCGCCATCGTCCCGCGATGTAGGTGCACGCGCCCGCCCCGAGACAGTGTTCACTTTCGCATTTCGAACCAACGAACTTCTCGATCGATTACTCGCTAATCGAGTGCTCACCGTCGAACGCGCACTGAAACTCGAGAGATCCGGGAGACACTCGCCTTCAAACCAGAATCGATCTTACAGGAGACGAAAATGCACGCCGCTATAGCACCTCCGAAACACTGACGTACCACTTTCTTCTTTTACCTTGCCTCCCTCTCTCCCTCTCTCTCTCTCTCTCTCCCTCCCTCCCTCTTTCTTCCTCCCCCTCTCTCTTTCTATCTCTGTCTCCTGTGGACAACGCGAAGACACTTGATCAGGTGCCACGACCAGCGCTGGGATAATGACTCCCTTAAAAATCTTCCCTTTTCTGTCTAAGACAGAAGGTTTCACAAATAGTATCCTGGGCGCAAGAGAAGCTATTCGTATGCCAGCACTATACTGCTTTAAACGAAGTGTGTTCCGAAATCGCACTTTAGCAAAAGTAATTTCTAATAAACGAGCCTGGATCTATACGAATGTTTCAGATTTTTATCAAATGTGCTGCTGTTTATCCTGTTCTGTAAATGTCTTTATAAAAAGATTACTAAATGTTGTTTCATAAGCATTTGCTAAATCGATTTGGTTCTCAAAAATTCACTGAATAAATCTGGTTCTTAAAAATTCGATAAATAAAGTTGACTCTTAAAAATTTACGAAATAAAGTTGGTTCTTAGTAATTTGCAAAATAAATTTAAGTTCGAAACATTCGCTGAACAAATTTGGTTCTGAAAAGTTTGATAAATAAATTTGATTGTTGAAAATTTTCTAAATAGATATATTTGTTAAAAATCTGCTAAGTAAGTTCGGTTCCCGAAAATTTACCAACTAAATATATCCCTCAAAGAATTACTGAATAAATGTATTCATTAAAAATGTTCTGTACAAGTCTTCACTGGCAATGTAATTGTCTTGTTTTTGCTAAATTTATATTTATACTATCCATACTTATATATCTCAATTCAGCAAATTCATTTGTAGCAAACAAAACAAAAGTGCTATTGCTAAAAATAAATTAAATTTCGACTAATATATAATAATTAAATAATATAAGTTTGTTTTAAATTAAGTAATATAAATTTGTTAAACTAGAAATATATCAAGCGAAATAAATATTAATTAAAACTATCCGTAACAAAATTGTGTTTAATAAATTGTCTTTGACGGGATCGTATTTAACAAAAATTCTCTTCAATAAAATTATTTGTAGTAACATTGTCTTTAATAAAACTGTCTCTAATAAAATTGTCTCCCATAAAATTATCTTCCATAAAATTCCCCCCCATAAAATCGTGTTCAATGAAATTGACGTTAGCACACAAACTAGTCCCTATAGATTCTCTCTACAAACGAAGTTCCTCGGAGACAAATTTCACTGCACAATTCTAACGAATGCATTGCGAAACGATTCGACTACACAACAAGCACACCGCTAAAACACCCCAGTATGCTTGCTAGTTGAATAAACAAACGAACAAATAAGCTAAGAAGACTATCTTGAGCTAGGATCAAAGAAGTGAACACTGATAAATGGGGCCAAATGATGAATTAGGTAACCAGCGCTGGTCAGGGCTCGGTGGGGACCAAGGATCGGGTCTCGGGTGCGCGTGTCAAGGTGAGGCGTCAGGGTATCGAGTATCGAGTAACAACAGGGCAAAAAGTGGACAATTGACTTCCGGTTTTCAGTGTGTACGCGTGCATCGAAAGGGTTAAATTGCAGGTGCAGGGGTCCGGTTAGCACACGCGAACAGACAAGGGACACGCGCGCAGACCGCGGCGCGGAGGGAACCGGAGCGGACCGCGGCGCTGAGAGGACCGGAGCGGATTGAAATCGAACGGAGCGTTTCTTTCAACCGGTCCTTACGCGGGCTGTTGCGCGGCGCGACAGAGAAAGAGAGCCTTTTTGACATTCGCCGCGGTTTAGCGTTCGGTCGGCCGTGTAATGAGAGCTCGTGATATTTACGGTTCTTGTTAGCCCGTCGGCACCGAGCGATCTGCTTCCCTCTCTATTTTGCCCCGGCGGCGTGGCGCGGCGCGACGGACCCGGTGATATTCGATGCAAATTCAGTCGACACCGTATGCATATCAATATCGGTACGCATATTTCACTGGCCGGCTCAAAGGCAGATACACTTTTCGCTACGGGAGAAAGAGGGTAAATACGCGGATGGAAAAGCGATACGCGAGTCTCTCTGTGACCGGGTACCTATCCTCTACTCTCCTCTCCTCTACTCTACTCTACTCTACTCTGCTCTTCGCTGCTGCTGCTGTAGCTGCTTCGAGTGACTCTGAGAGAGGCCACTCCGCCAAGAATGTTTTTGCGGCAAAAAAACAAATAGAATAACCTCGCTATTTTTACCGGACTGCCGAGAGGGTCACTCGGATGACCCGACACGTTTATACGATCCAAGGAATTTTGCGGAGAACTGTTTCACCCTTTTCTGCCTATTCGATACCCTGACGATAATACGTCAGGGGGGGGGGGGG